CAGGACAAGATGTGATGTAAATGTGAAAGCTGCCTCTCACATCCAACTCAGTTTACTGGAAACTGTTCTAAGCCAGACTCCCTTCAGGACAAGATGTGATGTAAATGTGAAAGCTGCCTCTCACATCCAACTCAGTTTACTGGTAACTGTTGTAAGCCAGACTCCCTTCAGGACAAGATGTGATGTAAATGTGAAAGCTGCCTCTCACATCCAACTCAGTTTACTGGTAACTGTTGTAAGCCAGACTCCCTTCAGGACAAGATGTGATGTAAATGTGAAAGCTGCCTCTCACATCCAACTCAGTTTACTGGTAACTGTTGTAAGCCAGACTCCCTTCAGGACAAGATGTGATGTAAATGTGAAAGCTGCCTCTCACATCCAACTCAGTTTACTGGTAACTGTTGTAAGCCAGACTCCCTTCAGGACAAGATGTGATGTAAATGTGAAAGCTGCCTCTCACATCCAACTCAGTTTACTGGTAACTGTTCTAAGCCAGACTCCCTTCAGGACAAGATGTGATGTAAATGTGAAAGCTGCCTCTCACATCCAACTCAGTTTACTGGTAACTGTTCTAAGCCAGACTCCCTTCAGGACAAGATGTGATGTAAATGTGAAAGCTGCCTCTCACATCCAACTCAGTTTACTGGTAACTGTTCTAAGCCAGACTCCCTTCAGGACAAGATGTGATGTAAATGTGAAAGCTGCCTCTCACATCCAACTCAGTTTACTGGTAACTGTTGTAAGCCAGACTCCCTTCAGGACAAGATGTGATGTAAATGTGAAAGCTGCCTCTCACATCCAACTCAGTTTACTGGTAACTGTTCTAAGCCAGACTCCCTTCAGGACAAGATGTGATGTAAATGTGAAAGCTGCCTCTCACATCCAACTCAGTTTACGGGTAACTGTTCTAAGCCAGACTCCCTTCAGGACAAGATGTGATGTAAATGTGAAAGCTGCCTCTCACATCCAACTCAGTTTACTGGTAACTGTTGTAAGCCAGACTCCCTTCAGGACAAGATGTGATGTAAATGTGAAAGCTGCCTCTCACATCCAACTCAGTTTACTGGTAACTGTTCTAAGCCAGACTCCCTTCAGGACAAGATGTGATGTAAATGTGAAAGCTGCCTCTCACATCCAACTCAGTTTACTGGTAACTGTTCTAAGCCAGACTCCCTTCAGGACAAGATGTGATGTAAATGTGAAAGCTGCCTCTCACATCCAACTCAGTTTACTGGTAACTGTTCTAAGCCAGACTCCCTTCAGGACAAGATGTGATGTAAATGTGAAAGCTGCCTCTCACATCCAATTCAGTTTACTGGTAACTGTTGTAAGCCAGACTCCCTTCAGGACAAGATGTGATGTAAATGTGAAAGCTGCCTCTCACATCCAACTCAGTTTACTGGTAACTGTTGTAAGCCAGACTCCCTTCAGGACAAGATGTGATGTAAATGTGAAAGCTGCCTCTCACATCCAACTCAGTTTACTGGTAACTGTTCTAAGCCAGACTCCCTTCAGGACAAGATGTGATGTGAATGTGAAAGCTGCCTCTCACATCCAACTCAGTTTACTGGTAACTGTTCTAAGCCAGACTCCCTTCAGGACAAGATGTGATGTAAATGTGAAAGCTGCCTCTCACATCCAACTCAGTTTACTGGTAACTGTTGTAAGCCAGACTCCCTTCAGGACAAGATGTGATGTGAATGTGAAAGCTGCCTCTCACATCCAACTCAGTTTACTGGTAACTGTTCTAAGCCAGACTCCCTTCAGGACAAGATGTGATGTAAATGTGAAAGCTGCCTCTTACATCCAACTCAGTTTACTGGTAACTGTTCTAAGCCAGACTCCCTTCAGGACAAGATGTGATGTAAATGTGAAAGCTGTCTCTCACATCCAACTCAGTTTACTGGTAACTGTTCTAAGCCAGACTCCCTTCAGGACAAGATGTGATGTGAATGTGAAAGCTGCCTCTCACATCCAACTCAGTTTACTGGTAACTGTTGTAAGCCAGACTCCCTTCAGGACAAGATGTGATGTAAATGTGAAAGCTGCCTCTCACATCCAACTCAGTTTACTGGTAACTGTTCTAAGCCAGACTCCCTTCAGGACAAGATGTGATGTAAATGTGAAAGCTGCCTCTCACATCCAACTCAGTTTACTGGTAACTGTTCTAAGCCAGACTCCCTTCAGGACAAGATGTGATGTAAATGTGAAAGCTGCCTCTCACATCCAACTCAGTTTACTGGTAACTGTTGTAAGCCAGACTCCCTTCAGGACAAGATGTGATGTAAATGTGAAAGCTGCCTCTCACATCCAACTCAGTTTACTGGTAACTGTTCTAAGCCAGACTCCCTTCAGGACAAGATGTGATGTAAATGTGAAAGCTGCCTCTCACATCCAACTCAGTTTACTGGTAACTGTTCTAAGCCAGACTCCCTTCAGGACAAGATGTGATGTAAATGTGAAAGCTGCCTCTCACATCCAACTCAGTTTACTGGAAACTGTTCTAAGCCAGACTCCCTTCAGGACAAGATGTGATGTAAATGTGAAAGCTGCCTCTCACATCCAACTCAGTTTACTGGTAACTGTTGTAAGCCAGACTCCCTTCAGGACAAGATGTGATGTAAATGTGAAAGCTGCCTCTCACATCCAACTCAGTTTACTGGTAACTGTTGTAAGCCAGACTCCCTTCAGGACAAGATGTGATGTAAATGTGAAAGCTGCCTCTCACATCCAACTCAGTTTACTGGTAACTGTTGTAAGCCAGACTCCCTTCAGGACAAGATGTGATGTAAATGTGAAAGCTGCCTCTCACATCCAACTCAGTTTACTGGTAACTGTTGTAAGCCAGACTCCCTTCAGGACAAGATGTGATGTAAATGTGAAAGCTGCCTCTCACATCCAACTCAGTTTACTGGTAACTGTTCTAAGCCAGACTCCCTTCAGGACAAGATGTGATGTAAATGTGAAAGCTGCCTCTCACATCCAACTCAGTTTACTGGTAACTGTTCTAAGCCAGACTCCCTTCAGGACAAGATGTGATGTAAATGTGAAAGCTGCCTCTCACATCCAACTCAGTTTACTGGTAACTGTTCTAAGCCAGACTCCCTTCAGGACAAGATGTGATGTAAATGTGAAAGCTGCCTCTCACATCCAACTCAGTTTACTGGTAACTGTTGTAAGCCAGACTCCCTTCAGGACAAGATGTGATGTAAATGTGAAAGCTGCCTCTCACATCCAACTCAGTTTACTGGTAACTGTTCTAAGCCAGACTCCCTTCAGGACAAGATGTGATGTAAATGTGAAAGCTGCCTCTCACATCCAACTCAGTTTACGGGTAACTGTTCTAAGCCAGACTCCCTTCAGGACAAGATGTGATGTAAATGTGAAAGCTGCCTCTCACATCCAACTCAGTTTACTGGTAACTGTTGTAAGCCAGACTCCCTTCAGGACAAGATGTGATGTAAATGTGAAAGCTGCCTCTCACATCCAACTCAGTTTACTGGTAACTGTTCTAAGCCAGACTCCCTTCAGGACAAGATGTGATGTAAATGTGAAAGCTGCCTCTCACATCCAACTCAGTTTACGGGTAACTGTTCTAAGCCAGACTCCCTTCAGGACAAGATGTGATGTAAATGTGAAAGCTGCCTCTCACATCCAACTCAGTTTACTGGTAACTGTTGTAAGCCAGACTCCCTTCAGGACAAGATGTGATGTAAATGTGAAAGCTGCCTCTCACATCCAACTCAGTTTACTGGTAACTGTTCTAAGCCAGACTCCCTTCAGGACAAGATGTGATGTAAATGTGAAAGCTGCCTCTCACATCCAACTCAGTTTACTGGTAACTGTTGTAAGCCAGACTCCCTTCAGGACAAGATGTGATGTAAATGTGAAAGGAACTTGTGGAGTTCAACATTTCTGCTAGTTTCATTAAGAAACTAGAAAGTGTTTTTACTCGTAAAAACATATGTCTCCCCCCACTCCCCTAACCCCCATTCATTCGTTTACTTCACGTTAAACCCCATCTCTTCATTCCCACCCTCCATTACTAAATAACAGAGACAAAAATAGAACTCCTAGAAATTTCAAACAACTAATGGGCACCACTTCAGCGTCTAATCAACACCACTAATCCCTCAATCATTTACCCACCTGACAGTGTAGTCATCTAAGTAGCACAGTTTTCTTGTTACTGAAGTATTTGTAGAAAATCCACTTAAAGTACTAATAGAGTTTGGACACAAATATATTAATATCCCCAACATATCAGAAATGATGTAGCAATGTTATATGGCACAAAGGAAAGTCTCTGTGATGTAATTGCCCGTGTATCTGACTCTGCAGGTCTTCTACATAATGACATATGTGATGTCATGGAAACTGTAATAGCAAGGCACCACACCAGCTCTCTGATGTGAAAGATCCTTGACATAAATATGGTCAATAACAGTTTCTTTCCTGGTAGTGGACACTTCAATCAGCTGCGTGAAGGGTTTTTGCAGAAGAGGTTGCGCTTTGAGTTTCTGAGTTATGGTCCGGAAACAAAGCTTACTCCCATTCAGAGCCTATGTTCAAGTTATCTCCATGGAAACGAGAAAAAATAAAAATGTCAAAAATCTCTAAATAGCAAAAGGCACCACTTCAGTGCTGGGTTAATGTGTATACAAAGTTTCGCGAAAAAATATTAAACGGTTTCCGAGTTATGGTCCGGAAACCAAGCTTACCCCCATTCAGAGTCTATGTTCAAGTTATCTCCATGGAAACGAGAAAAAATAAAAATGTCAAAAATCTCTAAATAGCAAAAGGCACCACTTCAGTGCTGGGTTAATGTGTATTCAAAGTTTCGCAAAAAATTTTAAACGGTTTCTGAGTTATGGTCCGACGCCGACGCCGACGGGAACCGTGCCAAAAACAATATGTCTCCCTCCATTCTGGGGGAGACATAATAAACAGAATACATGTATGTGGAACTATTTGCCAAGCCGACTGCCGTCTCTACTCACGCCTGGAGAGGAGGAAGGGAACATCTTCATCAGACACCTCCGAGTCGGAGTTGACAAACTTCTCGAAGTCCACCGTCAGGCCAATGGGCTGTGGGAAGCAAGCAATTATAGGTCAAACATTCTTGAAGTTTAATGAACATGTCATGCAAGTGTTAAACCTTTAGTTGCCCAATATATGAAATCATTTGCTTATTAACGATGGCCTAAGCTCCACACTTACTTGACATAGTGGCTACTAAAATAGGTGAGGTGAGGTGAGGTGAGGTGAGGTGAGGTGAGGTGAGGTGAAATTGGGTTTAATATTGCGTCCAAGATTATTGCACTTACATAGCGACGTGCATGCACGTGTGTGTGGCTGCTTTTACTAGTCCGGACTGATGCCGATTTATTGTGCCACTTCACTGAGAAAACATGCCGCAGTTTAACCTGAATACCCCACTCAGACAGTATACTGACTCAGAGCCAACCAGTCCTTGTTTTAGCCCCTTTATGCCGAGTGAGACAGGGTAATAACAAGTACCATCTTTTAACGTCTTTTGGTATGATGCGGCCGAGTACTAAAACAGGACAACCTACCTACACTCAGATAACAGATCTGTTCCTTGCAAACGCTTGCTGTAAATCCCATTTAATCGTCTCGTTAGGGATTCACTAATTGCCCCAATACTCTCATAGGGGCGGAAAGGATTGGCCAAATTATCTTAAGGCATTGCAATTTGCTGTGCAGAGGTGCACGTTACAGGGGTGCCAGAAACCTATGATCATGGGTTTGAAATTCCAGATCTAAACCGATTATATTTGTAGGTTTGTCTCCACCACATCCTTACTCCCTCACGGAAAGCATCTAACACCAGCATCCCTTCAGCTTTCTGCCCACATCAAGCTGACACGCTGTGGTGTAACTGGAATACTATTGAAAGCAACTTTATATCATGACTCCCGGCAAGTGAAAGGTCCTGCTTCCTGCCTATGACTGGGAAGCAACATGATCTCACCTTTTGTTTCTGTCGGAGCAGACGGCTCCACTTCCCCTTGATCTGCTTCTTGAGGGAGACGGAAGTCTGGTTCTCGTGGACGTCTATGTCCGTCTTCTGAGGCAGAATTTCCTCAAACAACTCATAGTCAAAAGATTTGTTGTGTTTTGATGATCTGAAAGTCAGGACAGATGGAGTCTGTACAGCATGACTACCCAATAGGCCAAGAATGAGAACCAATATGAATGCTTCAGGACAAGCCTTTAAGCAGGGTATGAAACTCCCAAAAAATTCAGCCAGACCACAGGACTGGCTAGCTGAAACACTTGCCAGCCCTGACCAAAACCTGCCTGCCCAATATAATCATATGTTTCTCAGGATAATTTAATTAAAAATATGAAAACTGATTGCTTGTAGCATAAGCGCATCGCTAAATGTTAGGTTGTCTAAAAGCTAACGGGGTTTCTTGTTGGTTACATTTTATCATTCATCTTTACATGTGAATTAATGCTTATCATCGGGAAATATTTAGAATACTGTCACATATGAAATATAACCCGACCGTCGGGCAGGGGGATTTGAAAATCTGGCAGCCCGAGTTGAAATCAACCCGTCTCGGACGGTCGGGCAGGCAGGTATTTCGAACACTGCTGTAAGGCCCCTCATGCACAGCAAGTGCTAATCTTAATATTAACTGAAATGGTGAAAATAAACAAAGTGGAATTTAAACAATTCAGGTTAAAATGAGTTTTAGCTATGCAAAAGTGACTTGTATTTCACAAAAACAGGATCAACAAAGAGAAAAAGGCTTTGTTACTAAATTTTACATTATGGCATTGTTTAGCATTAAATAAGGTATGTTTGTTTTGTTTGTTTGTTGTTTAAGGCCGATCTCAGCAATATTGCAGCTTTATGACTGCAGTCTGAAAATAATCCAGTCTGGACCAGACCAGACAATCCAGTGATTGACATCATGAGTACCAATCTACACAATTGGGAAATGATGTCATGCATCAACCAAGTCAGGAAGCCTGACCACCCGAACCGTATTAGTCTCTTAGCCTCCTATGACAAGCATGGGTTGCTGAAGACCTATTCTTCAACGGATCTTCACGGGTCATTGGCACTTTGTCGTAAATCCTTGACATGTCCTTGATCCTTTATTTGAAATTAGGAACCAACCTACCAACCCACAAACCAACAAAAAAAACAACCACCCACCAACAAACAACCAACCCACCAACCAACCCAAAACCCATCCACCCACCAACCAACCAACCCAAAACCCATCCACCCAACAACCAACAACCCACCCACCAACCAAACCAACCTGAAAGTGACATGTTGGTGAGAGATGGTGAAGTCCTCCCGGGAGATTCCCTTCAGTCTGACAGTGAGGACGACTCGGAAGGTGTTCTGGTACCAGCTCACAGCAACATAACTGAAACAACCAACGTCAACGTCGTACCGGCAAGACACAGAGTTTGCAATATTTGAAAGAAATTTGTGTGATGTCTGACAAACATTCATGAGGATGTATGATGTTCTCCCGACCATGCCAAGATGCAGTAGCCACTAAGTCTCACAAAAAATGTAATTTAGGCAAGATTCATGTGTGAAAAAAATGAAATAAATACAAACAGCCTGAACGAGTGAATGAGGTTGGTACAGATAGACGGCCAAAAAGGATGCAGGCTTAAGATGGTTACACTAATGTGTAACTCATGATTCACAGGTAGTGATGACAGACCAATGTTCATAATGTGGGTCAATCAGATGATCCTGGCACAGCTAAGGGAAGCAACTCTGCATAGAAAATATCAGTGGCTTCCTAATAATTAGATCTAAAACCAACACAGAGACAACACTGAGATAACCATGTCCTTGAAGCATGTTTACTTTGTGTCTTGTTCCTCGTCGTAGAGCAGCCTGGAATGATTGAGTGTCTGCTGTTGCTTGGGCAACCGTACAGCAATGGAGGCCTCTAGTTCCTGGCACAGTTTCCTTGTTGTATGGTCCTCCAGGTCCCGCTGCAGGACACTGAAAACATACAGTTGTCATAGTGATGTGCAAGACAAGCACAAGAGAAACTGGAAACATACAGTTGTCATAGTAACAGTAGTCATAGTGCTGTGCAAGACAAGCAACAAAGGGACTGGAAACATACAGTTGTCATAGTAACAGTAGTCATAGTGATGTGCGAGACAAGAAACAAAGGGACTGGAAACATACAGTTGTCATAGTAACAGTAGCCATTGTGATGTGCAAGACAAGGAACAAAGGGACTGGAAACATACAGTTGTCATAGTAACAGTAGTCATAGTGATGTGCAAGACAAGCAACAAAGGGACTGGAAACATACAGTTGTCATAGTAACAGTAGTCATAGTGATGTGCAAGACAAGGAACAAAGGGACTGGAAACATAAAGTTGTCATAGTTATAGTAGTCATCGTGATGTGCAAGACAAGGAACAAAGGGAATGGAAACATACAGTTGTCATAGTAACAGTAGTCATAGTGATGTGCAAGACAAGCAACAAAGGGACTGGAAACATACAGTTGTCATAGTAACAGTAGTCATAGTGATGTGCAAGACAAGGAACAAAGGGAATGGAAACATACAGTTGTGAAGGTAATAATAAAAAATATCATATTATCAATATAGAATCATTGTGTATCCCCTATAAAAAACTTGCAGTACAGCGGAAATTTGTGAAAACAAGATGAAAACCCAGGGGCCATGTCATAACTCTAACATTAATAATCAAGTATTTGAGGGGGTACTTACCGTATTTTCTTGAGTATAGTGCGCACTTTTTTTCGAAAAAACACAGCTGTGTAGAAGGGGGTGCGCATTATACACGAATTATGAGTTTGGATGTTTTTTTCCCCCATGGAAAGACATTACCGTGAACACGAAACACCGGGAATACCATGTCAACAAATCCATACTGAAGTACGCAAAATAATTATGTAATTACACTGTCTGGCTATAAAAAGTGTTCTTTGTATATCTGGACTTATGTTTGTAACTTATTTCATTGATTTTATTCAAAATTCCTTATAATATTGTTTTTATTAATTTCGGCGAAATCGTCTGTGAAGCGATCGGAAGATCGCACAACTCACCGTTATTAACAGCAACCACGGTCAGAATACCGCTATTGACGCCTTGAAACAAACTTTAGTTGACAGAGAATGGATACATATATCATAAATGACATACTTTGACTCGTTAAAAGTCATATTTGGTTTTGTTTGACGATTCTATGTCAACATGATATTCTCGCAATCACGTGATCACGTGCGCGTGAGCCTTGACGGTGACTGGTCAGACATGTTCCATGTAAAAAATAATACCCGGGAATAGTGATCAGCTGCTTCGCTTAGGGTTATTATTATTTTAAATATGTTTAATAAAGGTTGCATATAATTAAGAAAATAATGGAATATATTATTCCTGATAAATAAAATAGTTTCAGATACAATTGTTGCCGATCCTTGCATTAAAAATCTTATAAAGTTATATCATTGGGTGTGTCTTGACCGAATCACCGGTCGATTCCAAGAAAACGTGTGTACAGCTGATTGCTGTTTCCAGCTTAGTTTACGAGAAAATATGCAAGGTAATCTTAATCCCTAAATATAAAACAATGCCTAGCAGAACAATAAATACTATTTAAACGGTAAATAAACATGTCTGGTGATTTTTTATCTCAAATTTCGAATTTGTACTGACGAAGTTTCTCAGCACCGGTTCGTTTGACGGACTTTGCTGAAAGGGTACGGTGGAAAAATTTTCTGCGCATAATATTCAAATTTCTTTTTTTCCAAAATATTGAACCCGCTAGAGGGGGGTGCGCATTATACATGGGTGCGCACTATACTCAAGAAAATACGGTAGATTCCAATACTACAGAAGAATACCAAGGGAGCCCGGATTTCATATTCAAGACAAATTTAACATTTCCCTAAATCACACATCAGTAAACTATGGGGTTTCTTGGCTGTCCTTAGTAACCTATCTATGCTTGTCACAAGAGGCCACTAAATGGATTGGGTGATCAGGAAAGGTAACCTTGTTGATAATGTGGGATGTTGTTCGTACTATCTATCACTGGATTGTCCACTGATTATTTAATGGCTGCGATATAGCTTGAATATTGCTTACTTGGCATAAAATAACAAACAAACAAATCAACATGACATTAACAAGAACTTGTGTTCTGGAATTGACAGTATAAAGTTGCTTTGTTTTCTCATTTTAAATTACTGGAGACAGCAGAATGAGTGTGAGAAATGTTGCTATGACAACTTACCCCTGTAGCACGATGACAAGCCTGTGCTCCAACAACAGCGTCTTGTTCTTGCGACTTGCCTGTGCAAGATGGTGACACAGCAGCACCACCTGGTGGACACACTGTCAAACACAGACACAGCATCAGCAAACAGACATACAGAGTATTATCAAATAGGGCTGGGTAAAAAGATTGATAATCGGAATTATCGTCAATGGGAATAAATATTAACGATTATCGATATGAAACTGTTGTCATCAATAATTACTCACATGAACTATATTGATGAAATAAAATTTAGATTTACTCAAACAGACTTGTCATTGTCAATAATGTCAATTGTCGAAGATGGACAGCAACTGGTTTTGTTATATCTCAAATGTCCAAAAAATAATCCATGCCCAAAGTGTCACTGTTCACCAGTGGCGTGAAATCTGTTGATTTCTTTCAGGACTTTCGTGCATATTTGCTTGAAGTTCCTTCTCCGATATTTACGGATAAGTGATCGATATTTAGTCAGCAATTATTGATCTCTATGATCTATATCAATAGCCCGCCCTATTATCGAAGGTTAAACTTGAGTCAAATAGACATTTCTGCATGTGAAAACATTTCATTTGTGACGGAACAACAACAAAGACCACCAGCAATCTGTTTCACGGCCACACATTTACACATACCATGATGGTCACAATGCCGGCACTACTTTATTGCTTGCAAGGGAATTCTAATTACAAGTGAAAGTGCATAAAGTACATAAACAGATTAACTATGGTATAATGAAAACATTGGGTGGTCCTTAACTTATTTTTAGTAGTATATTGTTATGAGCTCATTATTAACAATCAAACATTAGTAAAAAAACATGGAGAGTATGCATATCTTTTTGATCAAGAGAAAACAATTTGTTTCAAATTTGATGGGGGGTTCCCTGAGAATAATAAATTCCTGTTCTATTTATCAAAGTGGATGTGAAAACATTTAACATCAGTACTGGCAGACTAGTAAAGCGAATGATATCACTCATATCTGGAAACTATATCATTCAGTATGGCCAATATGACATTTCAAGATTATTGTGCTACAGTGTACTGACACCAAGGTAACCAGTCTTTCTTTTGTCCCCTTAATGCTGAGCACCAGGCAGGGTAACATCAAGTACCATCTTTTATAACGTCTTTTGGTATGGCGTGGCAGGGGATCGAACCACCGCTCTATCCACTTGCCATGAAAGCCATCATGCCCAGCATGAACACATCTCTGACCTGCGGTCAAGACCGCTCCTCACCTTGCAACACCTGGTGTCCTCCAGCCTCTGTATCACGGCATCCACTAGGACGTCCCTCTTCAGCTCAGAGTGGGCACTGCCAACAACACCAAGTCATGTCAACAAATGACAGCCAGAATATACTGCAGGCTATTTGAGGTCAATATCTGGATTATGTCACAGATAACACTTCAAAATGAAACAGAAGCAGAAACATCACAGCTAGCCACCATATGTCCTCAAAGGTTAAAAAAATCATATCCTTCAAGTCCAAAAGAATTACTTCGATATCAATATATCAATAATATTTGTGCAGTAGATTTAAGAAAAATCACTGCCAGCAGTCAAATTAGAACAAAGTGTTAAAGCAGCCCCATTTCACGGGGCTGCAACAAAAACTAGACACGAGTTCCTGCATATACTTGGTCTGAGAGTGAGCCTCACACAACACTAGGAATGTAATGTTAATAATTTACTCCAGAATTACTGAATATTAATGTGATCCCTGCTTACTTCTGCCAGTGTGCCAGACTTGCCAGGAAGGTGAGGGCCGCCTCGATGACGTCATGCGTGTTTTCCCCGTTCAGCAAGTCCGGAACCTTCCTGCACACTGGCGTCTCCATCACAGCCTGGCTTACACTGTCAATATAACCAAATACATACGCACTGTGCCAATACAAGCTGTAGCAGGATCCCTCCAAGGCTGGTTACACAGTATCACATGGACCAATAGGATCTCATCATTCTGACACAAAGGTTTGATAAATACAATTATGTCCAATTTCACAAGACACAATTACATGCAATTAATACAACATAGTTTCCACTTCAAGACGTCATTTCACATTATTAGGGCAAAATGAATAAATATGGGTTTTTAGGGTTGACATATTCTATTCAGGCAGATTAATGTCTCAATTTATAAATGGATGGCAATAGCACATTCTGTAACAATAAGTTATGATTGATGTTACAATGTAGACCTTATCGACCTTTGTTGTTCCTTGACTTAACTCTAGCCCCATACTCTTCTTGAAAGCGATTTTGATGCCTGCTAAAGATTTGTCTGTTTCTTATTTAATGCAGCACTCAGCAATTTTCAGCTATATGACAGTGGTCTGTACAATATCGAGTCTTGACCAGACAATCCAGTGATTGACATCATGAGCATCAGTCAACACACTTGGGATACGATGACATGCATCAACCATGTCGCCTCTTACGACAAGCATAGTCGCCTTGTACGGCAGGCATGAAGAGTTATTCTAAATAAGATCTTCACAGGTCGCCTGCTTAAGAGTTTTTGATGAGCAAATACCCAAATGGCCTACAGAGTTAATGTCTTCAGTACCTTTGAGATTCCTTGAGGAGACATGCCAGGGCATGGAGAGACAAGCCCTGTATCTGAAACACACAGGTATAATGAGTCAGAGTTGCTAACACTCGCCCTGTGTTCAGGCACGGCATGGAGGGACAAGCCCTGTATCTGAAACACACAGGTATAATGAGTCAGAGTTGCTAACACTGTGTTCAGCCAGAGCATGGAGAGACAAGCCCTGTATCTGAAACACACAGGTATAATGAGTCAGAGTTGCTAACACTGTGTTCAGGCAGGGCATGGAGAGACAAGCCCTGTATCTGAAACACACAGGTATAATGAGTCAGAGTTGCTAACACTCGCCCTGTGTTCAGCCAGGGCTTGGAGAGACAAGCCCTGTATCTGAAACACACAGGTATAATGAGACAGAGTTACTAACACTCGCCCTGTGTTCAGCCAGGGCATGGAGAGACAAGCCCTGTATCTGAAACACACAGGTATAATGAGTCAGAGTTGCTAACACTCGCCCTGTGTTCAGGCAGGGCATGGAGAGACAAGCCCAGTATCTGAAACACACAGGTATAATGAGTCAGAGTTGCTAACACTCGCCCTGTGTTCAGGCAGGGCATGGAGAGACAAGCCCTGTATCTGAAACACACAGGTACAATGAGTCAGAGTTGCTAACACTCGCCCTGTGTTCAGCCAGGGCATGGAGAGACAAGCCCTGTATCTGTAACACACAGGTATAATGAGTCAGAGTTGCTAACACTTGCCCTGTGTTCAGCCAGGGCATGGAGAGACAAGCCCTGTATCTGAAACACACAGGTATAATGAGTCAGAGTTGCTAACACTCGCCCTGTGTTCAGGCAGGGCATGGAGAGACAAGCCCTGTATCTGAAACACACAGGTACAATGAGTCAGAGTTGCTAACACTCGCCCTGTGTTCAGCCAGGGCATGGAGAGACAAGCCCTGTATCTGTAACACACAGGTATAATGAGTCAGAGTTGCTAACACTTGCCCTGTGTTCAGCCAGGGCATGGAGAGACAAGCCCTGTATCTGAAACACACAGGTATAATGAGTCAGAGTTGCTAACACTCGCCCTGTGTTCAGGCAGGGCATGGAGAGACAAGCCCTGTATCTGAAACACACAGGTATAATGAGTCAGAGTTGCTAACACTCGCCCTGTGTTCAGGCAGGGCATGGAGAGACAAGCCCTGTATCTGAAACACACAGGTATAATGAGTCAGAGTTGCTAACACTCGCCCTGTGTTCAGCCAGGGCATGGAGAGACAAGCCCTGTATCTGAAACACACAGGTATAATGAGTCAGAGTTGCTAACACTCGCCCTGTGTTCAGCCAGGGCATGGAGAGACAAGCCCTGTATCTGAAACACACAGGTATAATGAGTCAGAGTTGCTAACACTCGCCCTGTGTTCGGGCAGGGCATGGAGAGACAAGCCCTGTATCTGAAACACACAGGTATAATGAGTCAGAGTTGCTAACACTTGCCCTGTGTTCAGGCAGGGCATGGAGAGACAAGCCCTGTATCCGAAACACACAGGTATAATGAGTCAGAGTTGCTAACACTCGCCCTGTGTTCAGGCAGGGCATGGAGAGACAAGCCCTGTATCCGAAACACACAGGTATAATGAGTCAGAGTTGCTAACACTCGCCCTGTGTTCGGGCAGGGCAAGTACACATCAGATACCAGGGATTGATTTCACTATATCCAAGCTGCACCAGTGCAGGTAAAACATTGCTAGTGCAGGTAACTTTTATTGCCAGGTTGCACCCAGTGCAGGTAACATTTCCCATCACAAATGCATGGAGGTAGTCATATTTGATAAAAGTGGAAAACTGAATTCTTTTAGAACTGGCTGCAAATCTTTTAGAATCCAGGAAAATAGTGAAATACAGAGGTATGAATGCAGTGAACTTGCAGAACTAATTCTTCACAACTACCACCAGAACAGTCACCCATGAGGTTACAATGATAAGACACTTTGAAATGTCTGCTTAAGGTTGTGTTTACTAGATATCAAGATGTAAAAGGCCATATACAGATTTCCTCCAAATAAACTACTGGAGCACATTCTCAAGTTTTTTCTCTTTGAACTTATAAAATATTCAAAATAACTGAAAATACACTGTTTTAGTTTAGGATATAATGGTGCAGACAATATGTTCTTGGTGCAACCTGATTAACTCACTGTTGTACCTGGTGCAGGAGGAGAAACAGAATGATATCGTACCGTGAATACAATGTTTACAGCATGGCATCAAATATACAATACCTAACTTCTAAGTACAATCCTAGAACAATTTTAAATCAACAAAACGCTTGAAACCAGTCCTTGTATGCAACATGGAGACATGTAACTATATGGAAACATAGCTTCTGTGTCTAGACTAGAAGTCCAGTGAGCGACATCATGAGCATCCAGCTACGCATTGGGATGCGATGACATGCATCAACCAAGTCAGCAAGCCCGACCACCTGAACCTCTTACGACAAGTATGGGTTGCTGAAAGGGCTGGCTATCGATGCAGATCACAGAGATCAATAATCATTAACTAAACATCCATAAATTATCACCAAATATCAGAGCAGTAACATTGAACAAATATACAAAAAAAAGTCCAAAAGAATTCAACATATTTCACATCACAGGTGAATGGAGGCACATACATGCATGGATTACTTTGTAGACATTTAAGATATAACAACAACAGTTGCTTTCAATCTTCCACAACTGACATGGGTGACAATAACAAGTCTGTTTTGGTTATCTGAACTTCATTTCATCACCACAGTTCATGTAATATTTTATTGATGACAATTTTCATATTGAAAATCATTACCGGTACTATATTTCATGATTATATAACTCTGATTATCCATATTTTTAGCCAGCCCTAGTTGCTGGAGACCAATTTTATCCCGATCTCCACAGGGCTGTGATAATGTTTACCTGTGAGTTGTCAGTGACATCCAGCAGGTCACACAGCGTTGTCGTGGCGTCAGCCCTCTCTAGCGCCACCTTGTAGCTGCAAGAATACTTACACATAGAACAATTCCATTTACAAACGCAACACACTGCACACTAAAACATCAGAGCGTGTGTTGATGATGCAGGAGACCCTTCTAGGAGAATATCTCAGGCTGACGCAATTTTTCAAACAGAAACAAGCATGAAACACTCATATCGCCCACCAATATGACATGTCCGGTTGTGTGGACCAAACTACCGCCACTTTCAGTCTAAGTCAAAGTCGTTGCCATGAAGACTCGAAAAATGAATGTTTAAAAAATCCCAAAACTATCAAAAGGCACCAATTTTCCGCTAGACCTATCTATGGACCAAATTTGGTTAAGAAACCTCATGGTTTTTTAGTTCTGCTCCAGAAACGAAATGTGACGGACAGACAGCACCCATATATATACCTATATCCTTTATACCCCTGCCACTTCTTGGCGGGGGATAATAATCTTTGATTTATACTCAACTTTGTTTCCTTGTTTACACTCCTCCAATTGGGTCTCTCACACTTGCCATACTCATCTGACCAAGGCTCTCAGCAATATTCCAGCTATATGACTGCAGTCAGGACCAGATAAACCAAGGACTGGCATGATGAGTCACAGACCACGTCGTCGGGGTACGATGTCACACAATCAACCAAGTCCATCAGCCTGACCACCCAATCCATTCAGTGACCTAACCTGTTCCAACTTCAGTGTCGTACACAGCATCGTGTGACATGCTATTGACCAGTATGGCTGCCATATTTGTTTACATAGGACATGACCATAAATTGACCTTGGTTGACATCAGTTCATATTTGTCGAAGTTATTGGAAAGCAACCTCTGTGACTGGGATTTAGAACTACATAATTGTTGGTGTTACATAGTTATAGCCCTCACCTGCTGACAGTCACCAGTCTCGAGATGGCCTTGGCTGCCTGCTTGTGGAGCGCTGGGAAGTTACTCTGTATGAAGAAGATAACTTTGAATAAAGAACCCAGATTCATAACAAAAACAGTATAGTTCTTGGAAAACAAGATGGCAACTCCAAGAAAACAATAGCAATTTTTTTTTATATCTGGAATCCTTAGTCAAATTCACTTCCAAAGAAACAAGTATATACGTATTTGGTTGGAAGTGATTCAGGACAAGATTGGTAACTAGATTTAGAAACATTTTAATGTTTTGTAGCCAATCAGAGATGTATTCTAATGGTAGATCTGTAGCCCTGTACGTGAGGGGATACAGCAGCAGGCGAGGAATCACCACAGGGTTATTAGGAGTGCAATATTAACACCTGTGAAATACACTCGTAACATACGAATACCAAGAACATACCTACATCAGTAAAATACAAACTAACACCAGCAAATACTCACTAACATCAGTAAAATATTCACATCAGGAAATACCATCAGTAAACACTAACTAACACCAGTAAAAACTAACAAACATCAGTAAAATATTTACATCAATTAATACTAACATCTGTAAAATATTTATGGCAGGAAATACTTTCATCAGTAAAATACCAACAACAGTAAAATATTAACATCAGTAAACACCAACATCAGTAAAATATTTACATCAGTAAATACCAACATCAGTAAAATACCAACATCAGTAAAATATTAACATCAGTAAAATACCAACATCAGTGAAATACCCACTTCAGTAAAATACCAACATCAGTAAAATACCAACATCAGTAAAATATTTACATCAGTAAAATACCAACATCAGTAATATATTTACATCAGGAAAATACCCACTTCAGTAAAATACCCACATCAGTAAAATATCAACATCAGTAAAATACCAACATCAGTAAAATACCCACATCAGTAAAATATTTACATCAGTAAAATACCAACATCAGTAAAATACCCACATCAGTAATATATTTACATCAGTAAAATACCCACTTCAGTAAAATACCCACATCAGTAAAATATTTACATCAGTAAAATACCCACTTCAGTAAAATACCCACATCAGTATAATATTTACATCAGTAAAATACCAACATCAGTAAAATACCAACATCAGTAATATATTTACATCAGTAAAATACCCACTTCAGTAAAATACCAACATCAGTAAAATACCAACATCAGTAAAATATTTACATCAGTAAAATACCAACATCAGTAAAATACCAACATCAGTAAAATACCAACATCAGTAAAATACCCACTTCAGTAAAATACCAACATCAGTAAAATACCCACATCAGTAAAATATTTACATCAGTAAAATACCAACATCAGTAAAATACCAACATCAGTAAAATACCCACATCAGTAATATATTTACATCAGTAAAATACCCACTTCAGTAAAATACCCACATCAGTAAAATATTTACATCAGTAAAATACCCACTTCAGTAAAATACCAACATCAGTATAATATTTACATCAGTAAAATACCAACATCAGTAAAATACCAACATCAGTAATATATTTACATCAGTAAAATACCCACTTCAGTAAAATACCCACATCAGTAAAATAACCACATCAGTAAAATACCAACATCAGTAAAATACCCACTTCAGTAAAATACCAACCTCAGTAAAATACCAACATCAGTAAAATACCAACCTCAGTAAAATACCCACATCAGTAATACATTTACATCAGTAAAATACCCACTTCAGTAAAATACCCACATCAGTAAAATATTTACATCAGTAAAATACCCACTTCAGTAAAATACCAACATCAGTAAAATATTTACATCAGTAAAATACCCACTTCAGTAAAATACCAACCTGCTCCAAACACCTAACAAGCATCTGTGGCACATTTTCAGCTATGGTCACTTCACAGATTCTGAAATGGTCGCAAGACAGAAGCAATCTGTATTCATAATGCTAACTCATGATTGAAGATGGTATCAGGGATTCCTAAATTAAAATGGGCAACCTACTCAAAACATTGTGATTATTGTGGATTCCTAAGACCAAGTGGCAACCAACTCAAAACACTGAAACCATGTCACTTACAATGTAGAGCAAGGATACCCATAGAGTTGATGCATAAAATGTATTATTGAAAAGCTGAATTAATGGATTGGGTGGTCAGACTCGGAGACTTGGTTCATTCTGTACCATTGAACCTTGCAATGTGGGACGTTGCTCATAATATCAATCACCAGTTGTCTGGTCCATTACTTACAAGCCACCATTATTTAGCTAGAATATTATAGTACTAGTACTAGTACTTGGTTCAACAATAGACAAACCTTGGTGAGAAGAGTATGGCAAGTGTGAGAGACTGGACGATGTGCTGGTGGGCTTCAAGACAGCGCAGATACCCAATGAGCCGACACACGGCAGCGGCTCCACCACAGGACACCATGGCCTCAACAGCACTGGAACAAAAGCTCCTGATAAATCATCACAACCTGGAAGTGGGTTGTCACAGATGACATGACTGGTCGGTTACGGTTCTTATAAATGCAAAAAAAGTGGCTTAATAAACAGTTAGAACAATAAACAGTCCCTTGATGAATATTCATAACCCGGCATCTAAATTTGCAGGGTATGCAACATACCAACTTATCATCTATGTATCTGTGCCAAGGTTCGATGGACTTACAGGGGTTCAGTTTTTTAAAATCATTTTCCAAATGACAAGTGAATAAGCTAAACGATTTGTCTGATTGAATTTCTGGTTGCCCCAAACTTTTCATTGAATGAGTGAAAAACATTGTTGATCGGTTCCACACACAATTCCAATGATCCACTTACCCATGGACAAGTAGCGGCAGCAATGTTTGCTTGCCTGAATTGAAAATACCTGAATTAACGGGAATTTTGAACCCCTGACTTTTAATGAATGAGGATGGTTTGATTTATCTTTCAGCAATATTCCAGTAATATCACTGCGAAGAAAACCAGAAATAATCTTCACATATTGTGGGAATTGAACCCAGGCCTTCGGTGTAACAAGCAAACACTTAGCCACGAGGCTACCCCTAACCGACTCCAGCTATGAGGGATCCATCATATTTCCAGGCCCAGGTTCCCAACACCCCAGAGAGTTCTTGTAGTTGGATGGTTGGTTGGTTTGTTGTTTAATGCCGCACTCAGCAATATTCCAGCTAAATGATGGCAGTCTGTAAATAATCAAGTCTAGACCAGACAATCCAGTGATTAATATCATGAGCATCGATCCAGGCAATTGGGATTCATGACATGCATCAACAAAGTCAGCAAGCCTCACCACTCGATCCCATTAGTTGCCTCTTACGACAAGCATAGTCGCCTTTTACGGCAAGCATGGGTTGCTGAAGACCTATTCTACCCCGGATCTTCACGGGCTGACAGTTCTTGTACCTTGTCTTGTTCTGGGAGGTGACAATTGTGGAAACCTCTTTGCTCTTCTTGATAACCACATCTTCATTCTAGAACAAATACACCAGTAAAAGCGAGTGAGTGAGTGAGTGAGTGAGTGAGTGAGTGAGTGAGTGAGTGAGTGAGTGAGTGAGTGAGTGAGTGAGTGAGTGAGTGAGTGAGTGAGTGAGTGAGTGAGTGAGTGGGTGGATGGGTATGAGCTTAATCCAATTTTATATATATTTAAGCAATATTAAGACAGGGTTTACCAGAATTGTACCTATGTGGGGAATTAAACCTGGGCATTAACCACAAGGCTACCCCGCCGTCCACAAGTAAAAGTTCAAAGAAAACAAATAAGAATGCAGTAATGATGAGGCTACACACTACCAGTACAGTCTGTGCCAAAAACGTTTGACACTACAAGCCCGAACATGGCTCTTAGCATCATTTTCAGTAGCACTTATTATTATAACAGACTCAGCCTACAGGTGAGGTAAAATGGGGTTTAACGTCGCGCCAAGATTATTGCACTTATATAGCGACGTGCATGCACGTGTGTGTGTGTGTGTGTGTGTGTGTGTGTGTGTGTGTGTGTGTGTGTGTGTGTCTGCTTGTACTAGTCCGGACTGATGCCGATTTATAGTGCTAGCTCACTGAGATACCATGCCGCAGTTTAACACGAATACCCCACTCAGACACAGTAAACTGACTCCGTGCCGACCAGTCCTTGTTTTAGCCCCTTAATGCCGAGCGCCAGACATGGTAACAACAAGTACCATCTTTTAGCGTCTTTTGGTATGATGCGGTCAGGGATCGAACCCCGGACCTTCCGCTCTACCACTAGATCACGGAGGCAGTCTCTCAGCCTACAGACTATTGGCTAAAGTCGCACACTGACAGTACCATATTGTACACTTGTCTTGTTTAAACGATTCATTACGATGGTAAAGAATGATTGAGTGAAAAAAGTTCTTAACACTGCAGTCAGTAAAATTCCAGCTGCCTGTAAATTATTGAAACTGGCCCAGGCCACCTGAGGTTGATAGCATGAACAACAATCCATGTAATATCTATCTTCATTATGTATGATTAATTTAAGGTGGGGTGAAATGGGGTTCAACGTTGCGTCCAAGATTATTGCACTTATATAGCGACATGCATGCGTGCGTGCGTGCGTGAGTGACTGCTTGTAATAGTCCGGATTGATGCTGATTTATAGAGCTAGCACACTGAGATACCATGCTGCAGTTTAACATTACCCCACTCAGACACAGTATACTGACTCCGAGCTGACCAGTCCTTGTTTTAGGCCATTAATGCCGAGCGCCAGGCAGGGTAACAACAAGTAAACAGAGCACACAGTGGAACATTGCCTTCTTCAAGACTATGCTCAGTATTTTGTAAACTGTATTCAGTAAAATGATCACAAAAGGGAGACAACCCACCTCGCCCCAGTAGATGGCAGCACACAGATCTTTGAGTTTATGCACAGGGCTGTCATAGATCTTTCGACTTGCAGACAAAGGCTTGGGCATCAAATCCTGAAAACATTGTGTGAAAGGTGTCTTTGATGTCCTGACACTATACCAGTCATTTAACAGGGACCAAAATAAACATACTGTATTTCAGAATGAAAATATGTTAATGTATTCTAAAATTCCACAGCAATAAAGTTTGATTATGAAAAAGTCCAATATCCATGTTACTCCAGGAGTGAGTGAGTGAGTGAGTTGGGTTTAACACAGTTTTGAACAGAATTCCAGTTATATCACGGAGTGTCGGCTTACTGTGGGAGGCAAGCCTAAAGAGACGCAGATCTCAGACATTTACCACCAGGAGCATGGGAATGGTGCTAACAGACCTTGAAATGTAATTGGGACGACCAAATTTCTGGGACTTAAATTTGTATACTTGTTGATAACGCCACACTCAACAATATTCCACCTGTAGGACCGTGGTATGTAAATAATCAAGTCTGGACCAGACAATCCAGTGATTAAGCATCAATCTATTCAACTGGGATACGATGACATGCATCAACAAAGCCATCCATTCCCGTTAGTCACCTCTCACGACAAGCAAGGGTGGCTGAAGACCAGTTCTAACCTGGACCTTCACTGGGGATCTTAAATTACAGTAGAACATGGATATAACGAACACGGTTATAGTGAACAAACTGATACAACAAACTGTTAAAAAATCCCCGATTTATCTCCTATATAATATCATATAAAATTTATGTATATAACGAACTCTCTACAGCGAACTAACGGATACAGCGAACTGATATCTGATCACTGACAAGCCTATCTATCACTTATTAGTGATGTGTATAGCGAACTAAGAAATCTCACTCAGTGTCAAGTATCACTGACAATTGGCTGTACGCAATCAGCGGCGAATCAATACAACCAGCGATGACGGATCAACCTTGATAAATTTGCATTGTGTTAATCTTACCTGTACATGTAATCTTGTCTGTAAAACAAACATTAAACATATAAATTTTACGAGCTGCCAATCACCAAGACGTAGAGGACGCCCTCCTCAAATGGTTTCAAGCCGTGAGAAGCAGAACACATTCCATGTAACACTGCAATTATGTGTATTGTGTTGAGTCTTATCCAAGATGGCGGACGTTTCCGAGTAAAAACGTGTATAACGAACAATGGATATAACCAACTGATTTCTCCGGTCCCTTGTAGTTTGTTATATCCATGTTCTACTGTAAAACCTTTGGGTTCTGGCAGATCCAAGGGACGCAACTCTGCACAGTGAATTACAGTGCCTCTGATGACAGAAATACCTTGAGACTCGGAGAGGAGGCGTATCTCTTCCACACCAGCTCCTGGGGGAGGTGGACGTCCATTGTGGAGTTGGTGTCGTGCAGGTCGATTGTGTACTTGTAGGATCCACTTGAAGTCTCAGCAGACTTGGACAATATCTAAACACCATATTTCTACATTATTCAACTGAAAATATATAACAGTAAATCCAACAAGAAGAGAACTCTTGTATCAATTTGGTAGATCTAAATGGTGCCAACTGCAGTGCCAGATAAATTGCCTGTCTGATTTAATGACTGGTTTTTTAATTGGTAACACTTAAGCACACACAAATTTTGGTTATTTCAGTAGGGTCTAGATAAAGCATGCACCAGTTTTATTATAGACAATGGAAATTCCAAATGATCAACTTGAATTGTACAAAGTCTGAAATTTCATACCATCAATACATTTTGTTTACAGTAAACTACGGTTATAACGAACACAAAGGGACCACTAATTTTAATTCGTTATAACCGTAGTTCGTTATAAGCAAACGTACAGAATATATACAGCGAATTGACAGGACCAAAAACATAGTTCGTTATATCTGTCAGTTCGTTATAAACGTGTTCGTTATAAACATAGTTCACTGTACTTTTAACTGTTGATAGTTTAACATATACAGTTAATGTTTCTAAAACATCACAAACACATGCTTAATTGAACATGCAAATGTGACCAGGAATACCTTGGCTACAAGGAGTTTCTTCTCCCCTGTCAAAAAGTGTGTCATATCCCACAATGCATCGCCACTATTATTGTCCCAGTTGTCTCCCCTTGGTTCCACATAGGCAAGCTTGCATGCTATGGCTTGACAAGGAAGGCCAGCGTACTTGTCTGGGAGAGGGCAGAGTCGGGAAGGGGACAAGCTGTCATTGTCACCAAAGTCACAGAAGAAGACATTGTACAGGTCATTAGACAGCTTCTCAATGACCTGTCCTCGGTACCACCTGCAACAGAGTGAGTGAGTGAAGACATTGTACAGGTCATCAGACAGCTTCTCAATGTCCTGTCCTGTTTCCCCCTGCAACAGAGTGAGTGAGTGAGTGAGTGAGTGAGTGAATTAGTGAGTGAGTGAAGACCTTGTACAGGTCATAAGACACCTTCTCAATGACCTGTCCTCGGTACCACCTGTAACAGTGTGTGAGTGAGTGAGTGAGTGAGTGAGTGAGTGAGTGAAGACATTGAGTGAAGACATTGTACAGGTCATCAGACAGCCTCTCAATGACCTGTCCTCGGTAACACCTGCAACAGAGTGAGTGAGTGAAGACATTGTACAGGTCATCAGACAGCTTCTCAATGTCCTGTCCTCGGTTCCACCTGCAACAGAGTGAGTGAGTGAGTGAGTGAGTGAGTGAGTGAGTGAGTGAATTAGTGAGTGAGTGAAGACCTTGTACAGGTCATCAGACACCTCAATGACCTGTCCTCGGTTCCACCTGCAACAGAGTGAGTGAGTGAGTGAGTGAGTGAATGAAGACATTGTACAGGTCATCAGACAGCTTCTCAATGACCTTTCCTCGGTACCACCTGTAACAGAGTGAGTGAGTGAGTGAGTGAGTGAGTGAGTGAGTGAGTTAGTAAAGACTTAGTGCTACTACCAGCATAGCCCTGTTCAGGTCCCAATCAGTTCAAAGTAGCTCACGATTGTCGTAATATCGATATGTTGTGGTCAGCCCTTGTCACCTGGCTGATTGTGTGTCATCAGAACCGGATGGCATGAACGGATCTTTGCTTGTCGCATTTATTCCATGACCAAATAAACAACTGGGTAGCTCCCTGCCCCAGACTCCCACAGAGCAGAGTGCTCTCCCTTGAAAGCATCACATTCTGACATCAACCACTGGTTCGTCTGGCCTTCCCTTGATCATCTACAGACCATAGTTTGTTTGTTGTTTAACGCCGCACTCAGCAATATTCCAGCTATATGACAGCGGTCTGTAAATAATCGAGTCTGGACCAGACAATCCAGTGATTGATATCATGAACAGCGATCCACGCAATTGGGATCGATGACATGCATCAACCAAGTCAGCGAGCCTGACCACCCAATACTGTTAGTCGCCTCTTATGACAAGCATAGTCACCTTTTACAGCAAACATGGGTTGCTGAAGACCTATTCTACCCTGGATCTTCATGGGTACAGACCATAGTGATATCACTGGAAAATTGACTGCGGCATAGATGAAAACAAAATCATAACATACTGTTTTTGTATTCTAAGCCTTTTGTTTCTGTGGCCTGTAAATAAGAGTCTGGACCCACTTGCACAAAGCGATCTTAGCACTTAGATAATCTAACTCCTATACTTTAACATAGGCTTACTATAATCTTAGCACTAAGATGGCTTTGTGCAAGTGGGCCCTGGACCAGACAACCAGTGATTGATATTATGAATGATCCATGCTCTCAAGTGTCCTATGACACTGCGTTTGACCACCAGCTAATACATTGTGTTACCTGGAAACCAGTGTAGGTTCCTGGGACCAACTGAACCACAAACATTCCTGAGTACTGGGTCATTGTCCATCTCACCTGTCATCTTGTGTGAACTGAGCCAGGCAGTATGTCCCCGGGCAGAGAGACAAATCCTTGTCAAACTCCATCTCAACCTTGGCCATCTTGTCATTAATCTCGTCCAGCATCTCCTCGAACCTGGGCAACAGAGCATCAAACTGGAACACTATGGTACATAAGGAGTGAGTGAGTGAGTATGGTTTTACGCCGCTTTTAGCAACATTTCAGCAATATCACGGTGGGGGACACCAGAAGTGGGCTTCACACGTTGTACCCATGTCGGGAATCGAAACCGGGTTTTCGGCGTGACGAGCGAATGCTTTAACCACTAGGCTACCCGACCGCCCCTCCATGGTACATAATTTCACAACTAGTGGCAGTAAGCCAGTCAGACATATTAATTACAATACATGGGCGGACCCAGCTGGGGAGTCCAGAAGTCCAGAACCCCACTTCTGAAAATCAACCGCCGTCTTATAGCTGGAATATTGCTGAGTGCAGAGTTAACCAAACAAACAAGAAAATCAAATGTAAAATCAAATGTAAAATCAAATGTAAAATCAAATGTAAAATGAAAATTGTTGCCGATCCTTGCATTAAAACACTGTAAAGTTATATCATTGGGTGTGTCTTGACCAAATCACCGGTAGATTCCAAGAAAATGTGTGTACAGCTGATTGCTGTTTCCGGCTTAGTTTACGAGAAAATACACAAGTTAATCTTAATCCCTTGATGTAAAACAATTCCTAGCAGAACAAAAAATACAATTTAAACGGTAAATAAACATGTCCTTATTTCAAATTTTGAATTTGTACTGACCGTTCGTTTACCGGTATTCGCTGAAGGGGAATTATTTTTTCTGCGTCTGACATTTGATTTTTTTTTTCAAAAATACTGAATCCGCTATAGGGGGGCGCGCATTATACATGGGTGCGCACTATACTCAAGAAACTACGGTATGTTGTAGGCAGTAAAATTATGTATAGAGAGGATTTTGATAGTTTGGAGCCCTCCTTTTTAAAATGCAGGATCCGCCCTTGCAGTCGAACAGATCAAACCAAACTCCTCAATAAATTTTACCCAAAGCAACTAAATAACTATTGAGCTGTCCTGCTTCAAACACAGTCTGGTGAATAACTTGCAGCACCTTGTGCGTCAATTCACATGACTTAGTGGTGTGCAAAAAGAAACATTATATTTTTTGTGAATTATTTACAAATACTTCAAAATACAACACAAGCAGGTCAGGTTTAAAAAAAATAAAGAAAAATCATTTTAATACTGGAAAGAAATAATGGTTAATCTCAATAATCCTAATTCAACCAAATAAACCAAGATATTTTATTGGTCACCTCTTCTTTTACAATATCTGGAAATGCCTGCCGAATGATTTTGGAAAATCGGAATCATATAGAGATTTCTGCAGGAGTCTTCGGAAATGTTCAGGTCCCCTACATGCTCCATATGTTAATATGACAAAAGATTTTCTGCTGTGATTTTCTTCAACAGTAAACTATGTTTATAACAAACACGCTTATAAAGAACTGATGGAGAAACGAAAAAACGACAAATCAATCAGAATGCTTGTATGACTTCAAGTACTTCGATCAAAGTTGGTTGGTTGGTTTGTTGTTTAACGCCGCACTCAGCAATATTCAAGCGGTCTGTAAATAATCGAGTCTGGATCAGACAATCCAGTGATTGATATCATGAGCATCGATCCATGCAATTGGGATCAATGACATGCATCAACCAAATCAGCGAGCCTGACCACCCGATCCCATTAGTCGCCTTTTACGACAAGCATAGTCGCCTTTTACGGCAAGCATGGGTTGCTGAAGACCTATTCTATCCCGGAATCTTCACGTCTTCGATCAAAGAATCACTCAGGAATAATTTTGTATTTTATATGTCTGGCATCTAAAAATATATCCATAATATGGTTCATGTGTTCAATCATACTGTATAATACCGTAAGTTCCAATGTGTTCTAAATAGCATCTGGAACATATATGATATATGGTGAAATATACGGGAAACATAATGCATCGAGTTCACAATTCTTCAGCTATAACTGTATGCTTTTAGACGGAAGCCAGTCGCAAAAATAGCCCACGAGTTACTATTCGGCTTGTCCTAGAATATCACAAGGGGGTCAGGAATGCCTCTACCCCTGTTGTATGGTTCGGCAGATTTGGGTGTATGGAAAATTAGATGGAGCAGATTCTACTGCAGTCTGTGACTCACTGCTTCACATGTTCTTTGCGCTGCACGAAGATGAGATCGGGTGAGACGACCGCCGACACGTAGATGTCGTGGTATTCTTGATCCTCAGGCAGAGACTCTGTGTCAATTGTCTTCTCATATCTGAAATTACAAAGTCAACTTTTGTAACAACATCTACACCAAATAACAGTGTTTAAAATACCTGGCTGCCCGACAGTTCGAGACAGTCTATTTTGCTGATGGATGGTCAGTTTTGAAAAGTGAAAGTCCTTAGTTGACAATCCACCAGTTTATTGTTATTTTCTGAGAACTAACATTAAACAGTACTATTCTTAGGCGTAATAAAATAAAAGAATTGGGCAATGTTTATTGAAAATATAGTTATTTTTTTTTGGTTGTTCAAACTGGTATGTAACTAAATAAACAGTTGCGTAACCAAATACAATTGTGTACAATCAACCTGGGAATACAGTATTTGACTTTGTGATGATATGGGCAGTGGCTGAGAACCAAGATTATGAATTTTTTTTAGCCTTATGTTTACCCTTTTATTATTCTCGTTCGTTAGTCTTGAAATTTCTGGACTGGCAACATTTTATCTGGTCTGGTAACTTTGCATAGTTGCCAGTCCGATTGTCTGACTGAGATTAGTAAGGAGCTCTGCAAAAAGATTGTCACTGTGAGGAGCTTGATATATCCAACTGGTAAGGGAGATAAGCCATGCTTACCCTGAGAGGTATTTAGCCTGAAATTTCTGGACTGGCAACATTTTATCTGGTCTGGTAACTTTGCATAGTTGCCAGTCCGATTGTCTGACTGAGATTAGTAAGGAGCTCTGCAAAAAGATTATCACTGTGAGGGGCTTCATATATCCAACTGGTAAGGGAGATAAGCCATGCTTACCCTGAGAGGTATTTAGCCTGAAATTTCTGGACTGGCAACATTTTATCTGGTCTGGTAACTTTGCATAGTTGCCAGTCCGATTGTCTGACTGAGATTAGTAAGGAGCTCTGCAAAAAGATTATCACTGTGAGGAGCTTCATATATCCAACTGGTAAGGGAGATAAGCCATCCTTACCCTGAGAGGTATTTAGCCTGAAATTTCTGGACTGGCAACATTTTATCTGGTCTGGTAACTTTGCATAGTTGCCAGTCCGATTGTCTGACTGAGATTAGTAAGGAGCTCTGCAAAAAGATTATCACTGTGAGGAGCTTGATATATCCAACTGGTAAGGGAGATAAGCCATCCTTACCCTGAGAGGTATTTAGCCTGAAATTTCTGGACTGGCAACATTTTATCTGGTCTGGTAACTTTGCATAGTTGCCAGTCCGATTGTCTGACTGAGATTAGTAAGGAGCTCTGCAAAAAGATTATCCCTGTGAGGAGCTTGATTTATCCAACTGGTAAGGGAGATAAGCCATCCTTACCCTGAGAGGTATTTAGCCAGGAGTTCTCTGGGCACCTCCACCTGGCACTCCCTACAGAGCTGGTACAGCTGCTCTATGTGCTGCAACATCAATATCACCATCATAAATAATAATGAGCACGTTAATTATACATCAAATCCACTTCCTAAAGCATGCTCAAAGCGCTACATTGTTTCCCAATCAACGGATCAGTGCACACTCAATTTCATTCCCTGTGAGGCACTAGAAGGTTAACAATCACAAAACTGTCTCATCCTACTTGGTACCCATTCACTGCTGCGTGAACAAAGTCACTTGACCAAGAAGGAACCATCATCATTGTCGTCTATCAGTGAGTGAGTGAGTGAGTGAGTGAGTGAGTGAGTGAGTGAGTGAGTGAGTGAGTGAGTGAGTGAGTGAGTGAGTGAGTGAGTGGGTGGGTGGGTGGGTGGGTGGGTGGGTATGGTTTTACCCTGCTTTTAGCATTATTCCAGCTATATGACGGCGGCCTGTAAATAATCGAGTCTGGACCAGATAATCTAGTGATTGACATCATGAGTATCGATTCCCGCAATTAGGATACCATGACATGCATCAATTAAGTCAGCTAGTCTGACCACCCCATCCCGTTAGTCGCCTCTTACAACAAGCATAGTCGCCTTTATGGCAAGTATGGGTTGCTGAGGGCCTATTCATGGGTGGACAGGAATACTGAAATATTTTATAATTATATGAAATATAGAGGATGACAGCTTATGACAGATTACGTATGTTTATAATCACTTGACAACATCAAATAATATTTGCATGACAACTTATAAGCAATCACTTGCTTTCAGTCCCTGCCTAGACACTCAGATTATCCCTACCAAAAGTGAAGTAGCATATAGCAAAGCTACAATAAAACAAGCACTTCCACGACAGAGCATGCCAAGCAGGTATACAGCTGACCTTGGGGTTGTTAGATCCAAGGCCATTTTTGAGCAGCTCATCTCGGACTCGCATATGGTTGGTGGTCATCTTAATGGTTTCCATGGTAACTCTCTGGACTAGGGGGTCCAGCCACAGGGTGTTCCCGAAGCTGGGGGAGGAAATGGGAGGGGGACAGTTACTGTCTGGGGATACAACCTATATGCTGCCATGTTTCTATTAACATCAATTTTATTGCATTTTCCCAGTTTCTGGTAACTGTAACAGAATCTAAACTTTTTCTGCATCGAATTCACATTCAGTCGGGCCTTCTAGTTGACTATGAACTGAGTTGGCGAATGATTGGTTGATTGGTTGGTTGGTTGGTTGGTTTGTTGTTTAACGCCGCACTCAGCAATATTCCAGCTATATGACAGCAGTTTGTAAATAATCGAGTCTGGACCAGACAATCCAGTGATTAATATCATGAGCATCGATCCCCTCAATTGGGATCGATGACATGCATCAACCAAGTCAGCGAACCTGACCACCCGATCCCTTTAGTTGCCTCTTATGACAAGCATAGTCACCTTTTTTGGCAAGCAGGGGTTGCTGAAGACCTATTCTACCCCGGATTTAGTGGGCGAATGAGCGAATTCACCGGAGCATCGTGAGCAAACTTTACGTGACACAATACCTGATACACTTAATTTGGCATCAATTTACATTTAACCCCATATCGATTGTCTGTGCTGATCTCACATCAATATTATTTTTTCCCTCAGAACTTGCTTTATCATCTTTCGGATATGAAACCGGCCGATAACGAGACTGACCAGCTTTTCCATGCTGCCTGTCATTATACAGTACATAAACTTGCTTGCTTCTTATTATTTTCTCATACGGAAAAGTTGACTTGACTCGTGTCATGTTGATGAGTATCAGTCAGTTGTCCTCCTGTACCTTTGTGAGCAAGTCATGGACTCAGTAAAGTGGTTTTCCACACAACATGTTGTATATGCAGTATCGAGATACGTATCGTATCATGGCTTCTGTATCAAGACATGTATCATATCGCGGGGCACCTGTATCATGACATCCCTAGAGAACAGTATTTCTGATATATCATGGCGTAAAATCTTAAATGAACCTGCGACCACCTGCATGAACAGCCTTACCAATGTGTAACTGTAGCATAGTCTGCCTTACCTGAGTACAACGCATGCTTCCAGCTCCGTGATCTCATCCAGCTGCTCAAAGATGAACATGTTGGCCTAGAAGACAGAGTCCCACAATTCATTGATGCAGGATGACACGTACACTTAAGTGCAAGAATGTGAAATGGGGGTTTAACATCACGTCCAAGATTATTGCCCTTACATAGCCATGTGCATGCAAGTGTGTGCGGCTGCTTGTACTAGTCCGGACTTATGCCGATTTTATAGTGCTAGCCCACTGAGATGCCATGCCGCAGCTTTATATGAATCCCCTTACTCAGACTTACTGTATACTGACTCCGAGCCGACAAGTCCTTGTTTTAGCCCCTTAATGCTCAGTGCCATCAGGGTAACAACAAGTACCATCTTTTAACATCTTTTGGTATGAAGCGGCCAAAGATCAAACCCCAGGTGTTCAACGCTCCGGGCGGACGCTCAACCACGGACTCCATAAGTGTAAGAAAGTCCCAAATGTATCTCAATCACCATTGCATATTGCATATCATATATATCCCACAATGCACCTCATCATGGATGTGTACTTTGCACTACCAGTAAACCTACTGATATATTTACAACCTATATGCAATGATTAAATCATACCATCTCACACAAACCCAATAGTCAATCTATCGCTAGAATATTCTGCATTCAACTTTTAACCTCTTCCTATAGTATTCTAGAAATGCAACTATCACAGGGTACTGGTCAGTCCACCCTACAAATGATGGGGTGCAAAAGTAAGTGAGCGTAACCATCATATCTGACTGCTGACCTACCCTGGGTGTCCACTCTGAGTCCTTGTCCATGGGCTTCACACGACACAGGTACACCTCCACAGCCTGGAAGTAGAAGTAGAGACAGTGCTGACAGACAGAGGATCATATTCATGGCAGGATATAGAGACTGAAGGCAGACAGAGGATCATATTCAGGGCAGGAGGTGGGCACTGGTGACAGACTGAGGATCATATTCAGGGCAGGAGGTGGAGGCTGGTGACAGACTGAGGATCATATTCAGTGCAGGATTTAGAGACTGGTGACAGACTGAGGATCATATTCAGGGCAGGAGGTGGAGACTGGTGACAGACAGAGGATGATATTCAGGGCAGGAAGTAGAGACTGGTGACAGAGGATCATATCAGGGCAGGAGTTGGAAACTGGTGACAGACTGAGGATCATATTCAGGGCAGGAGGTGGAGGCTGGTGACAGACAGAGGATCATATTCAGGGTAAGAGGTGGAGACTGGTGACAGACTGAGGATCATATTCAGGGCAGGAGGTGGAGACTGGTGACAGACTGAGGATCATATTCAGGGCAGGAGATGGAGACTGCTGACAGACTGAGGATCATATTCAGGGCAGGAGGTAGAGGTTATTACTGAGCAGACTTCCTGTCATTCAAAGCAATCTATTCTATAGACTATGAACATGATGATAGATTTTAAAGGCTGATGTGCCCAGTTGACATGATGAACCCTACCTGGTAAGGGACTTCCTTCAGGTGGCCTGGCAGTGTGAGGAGCTTGCACAGATCAACAATTTCTGTCTTGCCGTCGTCAACATACCACACCTTAACACACAGTCACTCATCAGATGCTTGGTTATGTGTGATCATTGGTTTACCTAGGATTCCAAACTAAGTGCCCATTGAAGACAAAATCAAAAAGAAATATTTCTGTTAAAAATGGAGATCTATTAAAAGTCCTTATTTTCATAGGTGAGGTGAAATGGGGTATAACATTGCGTCCAACATTATTGCACTTATATAGCGATGTGCATGTGCATGTGCGTGTGCGTGTGTGGCTGCTTGTACTAGTCTGGACTAATACCGATTTTATAGTGCTAGCCCACTGAGATACCATGCCACAGTTTAACATGAATACCCCACTCAGACACAGTATACAAACTCCGAGCCGACCAGTCCTTGTTTTACCTCCTTCATGCCGAGCGCCAGACAGGGTAACTGCAAGTACCTTTTTTTAAGTTTTTGGTATCACATGGCCAGGGATCGAACTCTGGGCGGACGCTCTACCACTAGACCACGGAGGCAGTCAAAACACTCAGAAATGCATCATATATATGTTGTCTGCAAGCATATGGATTGCAATAAGTTGCTGACATGAATAAAAGGACACTTCTACATACCTTTGCTGTGGGAGTTTGGAGCCCTTCAGACTCCATTATTTTGAGGATTTCCACTCTGAAAATATACAGCATATTATCTAAAACAACTGTTTTTTGCAATAATGGTTATACTGCATAAAACTACAAGGAAGTAATCAATTTTTGTCTGACAATGAAAACAAAACATCACTGCTGACCCCTAGGTCACAAACACCTGAAATTCTAACAACCACATGACATTCTAACAACCACATGACATTATAACAACCACCTGACATTCTAACAACCACATGACATTCTAACAACCACATGACATTCTAACAACCACATGACATTCTAACAAACACCTGACATTCTTACAACCACATGACATTCTAACAACCACATGACATTCTAACAACCACATGACATTCTAACAACCACATGACATTCTAACAAACACCTGACATTCTTACAACCACCTGACATTCTTACAACCACATGACATTCTAACAACCACATGACATTCTAACAACCACATGACATTCTAACAAACACCTGACATTCTTACAACCACCTGACATTCTTACAACCACATGACATTCTAACAACCACATGACATTCTAACAACCACATGACATTCTAACAAACACCTGACATTCTTACAACCACCTGACATTCTTACAACCACATGACATTCTAACAACCACCTAACATTCTAACAACCACATGACATTCTAACAACCACATGACATTCTAACAAACACCTGACATTCTTACAACCACCTGACATTCTCACAACCACATGACATTCTAACAACCACATGACATTCTAACAACCACATGACATTCTAACAAACAACTGACATTCTTACAACCACCTGACATTCTTACAACCACATGACATTCTAACAACCACCTGACATTCTAACAACCACATGACATTCTAACAAACACCTGACATTCTTACAACCACCTGACATTCTTACAACCACATGACATTCTAACAACCACATGACATTCTAACAACCACCTGACATTCTAACAAACACCTGACATTCTTACAACCACCTGACATTCTTACAACCACATGACATTCTAACAACCACATGACATTCTAACAACCACATGACATTCTAACAAACACCTGACATTCTTACAACCACCTGACATTCTTACAACCACATGACATTCTAACAACCACCTGACATTCTAACAACCACATGACATTCTAACAACCACATGACATTCTAACAAACACCTGACATTCTTACAACCACCTGACATTCTTACAACCACATGACATTCTAACAACCACATGACATTCTAACAACCACATGACATTCTAACAAACACCTGACATTCTTACAACCACCTGACATTCTTACAACCACATGACATTCTAACAACCACCTGACATTCTAACAACCACATGACATTCTAACAAACACCTGACATTCTTACAACCACCTGACATTCTTACAACCACATGACATTCTAACAACCACATGACAATCTAACAACCACCTGACATTCTAACCAACACATTCCACAAGATTAAATGCATAGGTACCTATGGAAGTCTTGTTCGTTGCTCCGGATGGCACAAAGTTCCCCCTTCTTGGCCATCGCTGCAATGAAACAAAGCAACATCAACACTGGACAGCTGGAAGGGGTGAGTGAGTTAGGTTTTATGCAGCTTTCGTAATATTCCAGCAGTATCACAGCAGGGGCTCCAGGATATTGGTCTGTCACAATACACCCATGTGGGAGTCAAGCCTTCAGCATGGTGGGCAAACACCTTCACCACTTGGCTACCCCCCTGCCCTCTTCAGGCAGGTGAGGTGGTGTGAGGTGGTGTGAAGTGGTGTGAGGTGGTGTGAGGTGGTGTGAGGTGAGGTGGTTTGAGGTGGTGTGAGGTGGTGTGAGGTGAGGTGGTGTGAGGTGAGGTGAGGTGAGGTGGTGTGAGGTGAGGTGGTGTGAGGTGGTGTGAGGTGAGGTGGTGTGAGGTGGTGTGAGGTGAGGTGAGGTGAGGTGAGGTGAGGTGAGGTGAGGTGAGGTGAAATGGGGCTTAAAGTCGCATTCAAGTCTTCAGGTAAGACAGTTCTATATCCAACATCCTCAGATGACTGCCATGGTGGAAGATGATACAAGCATGACAGCCAAGGCAGACAATGACGCTGGCAGGACAGCCCCAGGTAGACGACGACGGCCATGGTACATGTGAAGACTTTGCAGGAAAAGTAGAAGGCACCACCACAAGAAATCCAAAGCAGATGACGTCACAGGCAAGACACCCATTGTAGAAGGCTTCAGGCTTCGCCCCGCAGGGGCAGGGGCTCCAGGATATTGGTCTGTCACTATATACCCATGTTGGAGTCAAGCCTTCAGCATGGTGGGCAAACACCTTAACCACTTGGCTACCCCCCTGCCCTCTTCAGGCAGGTGAGGTGGTGTGAGGTGGTGTGAGGTGGTGTGAGGTGGTGTGAGGTGAGGTGAGGTGAGGTGAGGTGTGGTGAGGCGAGGTGAGGCTAGGTGAGGTGAAATGGGGCTTAAAGTCGCATTCAAGTCTTCAGGTAAGACAGTTCTATATCCAACATCCTCAGATGACTGCCATGGTGGAAGAAGATACAAGCATGACAGCCAAGGCAGACAATGACGCTGGCAGGACAGCCCCAGGTAGACGACGACGGCCATGGTACATGTCAAGACTTTGCAGGAAAAGTAGAAGGCACCACCACAAGAAATCCAAAGCAGATGACGTCACAGGCAAGACACCCATTGTAGAAGGCTTCAGGCTTCGCCCCGCGACTGCCACAGTAATTTGTGTCACCGGTGGGGCAGCCACATTAGAAAACCTTGCTGTGCGACAGCCACTGTAGAAGCCGGCGCTGGCACGAAAGCCACGGAAGAATGCATCTCGTGCGGGACAGCCACATGAAAAGCAATCACCAGCGGGTGATTGATTTTTGATTAATTAATTGGAACAACACCCGAGTTTGGATGCCACCTCAAGAAAACATTGTCCACTCACACTGTGACCTGCAGTTGTTCTTGTTAGCGAAGAAGCTTGCGATGTCAAAGAGGAGTGAGATGTAAATGCCGTTGAGGTCGGTCTTCTGTTCTCCCCGGTGCTCCAGAAGTCTCACGTAGTAGTGGTTGGCGTCAAGGATGTGATTCATCCTCACCTGTCAACACAAAGTTACATCCCATATCATTCCTCTAATTCCCACACACCTGTAGGGCCCAGTTTCCTTTTGAATTTTAGATTCCTGTGATATTACTCAGATTTACCTAGACTTCCCCAGCTTTACCTGGACTTCCCTTGATTCACCTGGACTTCCCCAGCTTTACCTGGACTTCCCCAGCTCTACCTTGACTTACCCAGCTTTACCTGGACTTCCCTTGATTCACCTGGACTTCCCCAGCTTTACCTGGACTTCCCTTGATTCACCTTGACTTCCCCAGCTTTACCTGGACTTCCCTTGATTCACCTTGACTTCCCCAGCTTTATCCGGACTTCCCCAGCTTTACCTTGACTTCCCCAGCTTTACCTTGACTTCCCCAGCTTTACCTTGACTTCCCCAGCTTTATCTTGACTTCCCCAGTTTTACCTTGACTTCCCCAGCTTTACCTGGACTTCCCCAGTTTTACCTTGACTTCCCCAGCTTTACCTGGACTTCCCCAGCTTTACCTGGACTTCCCCAGCTTTACCTTGACTTCCGCAGCTTTACCTGGACTTCCCTGGATTCACCTGGACTTCCCCAGCTTTACCTGGACTTCCCCAGCTCTACCTTGACTTACCCAGCTTTACCTGGACTTCCCCAGCTCTACCTTGACTTCCCTTGATTCACCTGGACTTCCCCAGCTTTACCTGGACTTCCCCCGATTTACCTTGACTTCCCCCGATTTACCTAGAATTCCCCGAATTTACCTAGACTTCCCCCAATTTACCTAGACTTCCCCCAGTTTACCTGGACTTCCCCCAATTTACCTAGACTTCCCCCAATTTACCTAGACTTCCCCCGATTTACCTGGACTTCCCCCAATTTACCTGGACTTCCCCCGATTTACCTGGACTTCCCCCAATTTACCTAGACTTCCCCCGATTTACCTAGACTTGCCCAGGTTAACATCAACTTCCCTAGATATCTTGACTCTACCAGATTTACCTTGACATCCCCCCCCCCATTTACCTTGACTTCCCCAGTTCTGGGCAGGTCTTTGAATCCCCGGCCACGAGGACAGTCACTGACAGGAAGGATACGATGTCGATACTGGCACTTGTTGATGTTCCTTCAAAGGAGAGTGACAAAATATATTACTGCAGGAAAGAAACATTGTACAATAAAATCTTGTGTCTTTAAATATTGATAATGAAGTATGATGAGGGCTTTAAAATAATCAAGAAATGGTAAAAAACAACAGTGACATGAGCAAATTCCACATCATCGGAGTATGAAGACACACAAACCAGTGTCACAGAAGCTGATCACCCCATGCATTTAGTCGCCTTGTACGGCAAGCATAGAATGCTGGAGCACTGTACGAAACAGCTGCTTGCCTGCTATCCAGTGGCCAGTAGTTTGCTTGGGGAGCAAATAATCTTTCAAACCTCCTATCTGCCTGTCTAATAACTTTGATTAACTCTGAAGTTCGAATCTACAATTCAGTACCAAGATTGCGTTACACAAACCTCTTTAATCACTATTTATTCCCTATTGACTACGTAATCATGGATAATAGGCTTGGTCTAAATATGCACCAATCGGAACATAGTAGGACAAAGAAACAATCCCAGCACTCCTATTGCACTTGTAAACAGTAATTTTCAGTTTGTACTACTGAAATGAGGACCAGTAGTCTTTGCTGTGAGATGGTGTTAGCTCCCCGGGGAATTTTGACTCATGTCAGAGACTGTTTGTTTGTTTGTTTATTTGAGGTTTAAAGCCACACTCAGCAATATCCCAGCTATATGACGGCAGACTGTAAATAATCAAATCTGAACAAGACAATCCAGTGATTGACATCATGAGCATCAATCAACCCAATTTGGATACGATGACATGCATCAACCAAGCCAGCGAGCATGACCACCCGATCCCGTTAGTCGCCTCTTATGACAAGCATAGTTGCTTTTTACAACAAGCATGGGATGCTGAAGACCTGGATGCCGTTGTACAAAACAACCTTAGCGCTACGATCACCTTAGTCAGATCGCTTTGTACAAGGGCAACCTGTTCTAATCCAGATCTTCATGGGTATGTCAGTGCTTGTGCTGGAGACCTTTATACTAACATGGAAGCCCCACGGTGGAATGCTTGTGCCACACAAAGGCCAGTGTCTACTTACACACAGAATCCAAAAGCCTTGATGTGTCTGCAGAGGTCCTTGTCTTCATCCTCGTTCTCTCCCTGCAGTAGAACATGCACACAAACTCCAGCTTTATTCCCTTCAGATTGTCCAGCAGTGCATCCTATCAATGACCCCCTGGTGCTACAAGATCTACCTCCATCATGTTAGGCCAGACTTTTATTTCATGGAGTTTACGAATTTAAGACCCAAAATTTCAGGTCAGTAGGTAAAAGAATTATGTAAAAATAGAAATTCCAGTTTCAAATAAATATCATATATTTCCTCTTGCAATTCAACGCAATTCATCTTGTTTTCAAAATTTTAAGATAACTTTTCAACATGTTTTAATGATTGTATTTTAAATGATTTATTGATATTTATAGCGACAAGATTCATTGGAAGGGATTCGTTTCATTTTTTGTAAATTTTTCTTCATTTATTGTTTTGGAGTTATGGGTTCGTTAACCATTTTAAAGAAAAGTCTGACCTTACTTACTTGTCCTTAACACCAGACGTAGGTCCAGTACATATTTCACTTTCTAGTGAAGTGATAACAAATAATAATCACCATTTCTATGTGATGTTTATTTCCATTAAAGGCATTTAGGAACACAGACACATAGGATCACTTATCAAAATATAAAGCATCAAATAAGAAAACAATAAGTCTCTTCTTTCTCACTTTCCAAATCTGGTTATATTTCAGACTCAGTGTAGGAAAAGGGCAGGTAACTCTAAACTCACATACTGCCAGGGAGTTGAGCATAATTGAGTCCATAATTTGCTTCTTTATACTGAACAAAACAAATTAGGGATCATGAACACTTTGGGGGACACTTTATGAAATTATGTCCCGTCTTCACAACAACAAAACAAAAAAACCAAAGAGGCCCACAGGGCCTGTATCGCTCACCTGGATATTTATGCAATCATGACAAAATATACATTTGCATTGTACATGTATATAATACTGCAAATATTTCATAATTTTGACTGTCAGCATTAAAAAGGGGTGGATAGCAAATCTGACAGCGTGAATGTGTACTTCTCAAGCTACAAATGTAGCATAAAGATCTGAACCATTTCCATGTTATGATCCAGGATCTAAGTTTCCAGAGGCAAGGCTGGACCCCAGGGCGAATCCTAATGGCATAAATGTATTATTCCCTTCATAACAAACAAATGTATACAATGTATCTGTTTATTATAGGGTGGTGATAATATCGGTTTGCATGTTATGGTCAAGGTTCTAACTCATTTGGGAGTGCTGGACAGGTGAACAGAACTGTGAATTCCCATCACCTGAGAATGCTTCCAACCAAATATGGTTGATATCTATCTCTTAGTTACAGAGAAGAAGTCGTTTAAAGCAATAACGCCAAATTAACTCTATTTCGCCCCGCCCCTCAGCCTCTTGGGGGTCAGTCCCACCATGTGTACAATTTTGAATCCTTACCACCGGAGAATGCTTCCAACCAAATATGGTTGATATCTATCTCTTAGTTCCAGTGAAGAAGTAGTTTAAAGCAATATAGCCAAATTACCCCAATTTGGCCCCGGCCCTCAGTCCACTGGAGGGTCGCCACTACCAATTTTTTATCCCAACCACCTGGGGATGCTTTCAGTCAAATTTCGTTAATTTCCAATTAGTGATTCAGAAGAAGAAAAATTGCTGACATACGGACGACGGACGCCACAGTATGGCATAAGCTCACTTTTGTGTCCCTCCGACCAGTTGAGCTAAAAATATTCATGACCCTCATCTTTTCTGTTCAGTATTTACACCACACCATGCAAATAGACTTTGTTTTCAAAACAAGAGATACAAGAAACAAAAGACTCTTAAAGAAATATACCTCAATAGTTTGTGTTTCTATTGAACAAAACAGAGAGAAAACCAAATACATATTTTATTAAAATTACATGAAGTCTTATCTGCCCTATCAATCAATGAAATGTCCTGCTGAACAAAGATATAGAAAATATTTCATGTGTCAAGTGAAATATCATGTTTCTCTCACTGAGTGACAGGGGAACGGAAATATTTTCACGATTGGCATGGCCATGAGTGAAAATATCTCATTTCCCCTGTCATGAATGTAGAACCTTGAAATGCAAATGCTGCCTACCTTACATGCTGGGACTTTTCACCACCCCTTGTAATTGTGACTTAAAAAGTAGTTCTGAGTTTGCAAAATCATAAATGATATAAACAAAAGTAACAATAGCATCTGAGGTCACTAAAATTCTTTATCATACATTTGGATATGATTATATATACAAAATCAACTTTTAAAAAATCTTCTTGAAATCAACGAGACGGTTGTTGGAAGCGAAGGAATACATGCTGGTCAAGTAACAAAAATGGCGCTTAGTGTAATGAACAGACTCGATTGACGAGTTAAAGGAGAAACTAACAGTTTATAAAAAAACATTTTCACAAAAATAACAAACAGCAAGAAGTAATATTAACTCCATAAATGAACATCTGTCATTATTTTGCCTTGTAACGTAAAAAGGAAGTCAACAGTTATGTACGGGCCAGACACTTACGATAAAGGGAGACAATTTGTGAGAAGGTACGTCTTGAATGACAATAGTTCCGTCAAAGTGTTATGTTCACTGCAGTGAAATATCAAGTGTTATGTTCACTTCAGTGAAATATCATGTGTTATGTTCACTGCAATGAAAATATCACCTTTTTCAACTTCAGAAAACTCTTTCACACTGAAGTATATAATAAATGATTGTTGAGGTCTAGATCTGTGTGTGATATGATGTTGAACATTAATAAATACTGTAATTCAGTAAAATGGCGTGTTCAATGACTGCAGTATGCAAGATGTTCAAAGGATAACTTTTGTTGATTCAGGGATCATATGTACATAGAGAAGTCATGTAAGTAATAAAAAAAAATGACAATCGAAGTATTGTTATTTGTTTTCATTTTTTTCATAGTAACCAAGAGAATTCATAAGAAATGCAGATAAATACCATCACATCACGTGATCAAGGCATCATGCTGAGCTGAAACGCTGACCATTTCTGCTGAATTTACTAAATCATTGTAAAATAACCACTTTCAATTCCCTAATTCTTGCCATGATAATTTGCCATGCATATTCTCAATAATGGGAGTCAATGAATGCAAGATTAGATGAATCAATTTCCCAAAAAAAAGAGAGAAAATGTTTTACAGTGTAAACTCCTAATTTTGCTTTTTCTCATCAGATATAGTTCACTTAATATTAGTGATAATGACAAATAATTCTAAAATGTGTGCGTAATTCAGGGATGTATGTATCGCAGCTAAGTGTAAAATATATGAGATGTAAAAAAAAATTCACAACCCAGCATAGGCAAAACATGATTTGTAAACACTAAGGCCAGGCTTTTTTTTTTTTTTAGAATTACGAATTTTTCAGCCCAAAGTCCAGGGTTGGAGCAGGGAAAAAAAGAAAAAAGAAAGAAAGAAGCCAGACGCATTTTTTTAAATGCAGAATGCCTCTGGCACACTTCATGAACATATTCTGTGCTCAAAAGACTGCCATTTGTGACGATAAAGCCCCTTGTAACAATATAAATTCTACCACTTACAACACGGACAATTGTCAAGGGAGGCTATTCATGTTCGGCTTCGAGATCAACAAAGATCGATTATGTATCTCTTTACTAGTTTACAACGGTAAATTCATAAGTTTTTTTATTATTAATAAGTGATGATAACAAATAAAATAAATGACTACGTGGCTATCGGCGGGGAAGAAATATATGGAAATCTGATTTTTTGGGTCAGCGGGTCCGTAATCTGAAAAATATAAAACGCCAGGCCTAACCAATATGGCGGAAAGTTCATTTCAATGTTCGTGTTTGCATATTTTCTAAAACATACTTAGAGATTCTGGGGGTCACTGCCAACTCATCAGAATAATCGTCGAATGGTCAGAATGAATAAATCACTAAAATGCTATTTTTTTAATTGAATTCCCTGAGTAAATATCTAAATGTTAGATTTCAAAACATACACCGGTACATGAATACACATACCAACAAAGATTGTTTATGGTAGTATTTTTTTTAGTCCAAATGACTGCAGATGATATCACAGAACAGTGAAGTGTATGACTATTCAGGTTTTAGTCAACTTCCAATTGAGGGTTGAATCTATTGCAACCAGATGTCAATTCTGTTCTTCCAAGGAATCCTCACATCACTGACAATGTGTGAAATTAGACATATTAAATCAACTCACAAATCAGCTTCAACTACAATCACAAAACACATTTACTGTTCATGGTATGACCATATATAAGTCTGTCAGTCAAGAGTTGCCTCCCTTAGCTGCCTGGATCAGGAAGTCATGGGTTCCAATCCCTGACTCTGCCTGATAATGATCCTTGATGAGTCAAAATCATGGTCTCAAATGAGAATGACAAACCAAATATTCCCTTTAGCTGATTGTATTTTTGATAGACCCATTCAAGGCTAAAAGTAATACCCAGTGTTCTTTCAAAGAGATTGACTAGGATGTTCTTACTTTATTTCATTGCCAAAATTACTCCATTCATCCACTGAAGAACAATATTAAGATATTCAAGTGTCACACCCGTGTTTCAGTATTATCTACCGATCATGATTCTGTCTTATACTTTGCTACATCTCATTGTGTAGTATAAGAGAAAAAACATCATTGTAATATTGTTACATGGCAGTCGAGATTGTTGCAGACTTATTTGTGGTCTTTGTCAGTTTCAGCAAATGGCTAAAACACAGATTTTTTGTGGCGACTTCTTGAGAAAAGGAATACCGCAGTTTGCTTTTAAATCATTCAATGATCGTGTATGGTCATTTACTGATTTCACAATTTAGTTCTGTGTATATACTGATTTCTGGGCTTACCTCTGCGCCTTAATTTAGAAACCACCTCGAAACAGAACTAAATTGCAAAATCAGTAAATGACCAAACACAATCAATAAATAATTGATAAATTATTTTGAAACATTCAGTTTGCTCTATCCTTGAATCCAAAACATTGTTCGAAGCAGACAAGAATTTGTT